CCTAGATCCAAGCTTTAGGGTTTGCATGAGCACATAGGATGTTATTTTATGTAAAACCCATCATTAACGCAATTATAAAATTTACAGGAAACAACCTTTTATGATAACACAGTAACCTACACGCACTGGTACTCAACCTCGGGTGTTGAGTTTCCAAGATTCTCATAAACAGACAACATCGGGTTGTCTGGGGTCATTCTCTTTATACTCTCACAAATAATAACACACATGCATTAATACAAGATCAGACACAAACATTTCAAACTGTTTTTTAGAAAATATCGGATTTTCTAGTGTTTACAAAGCAATACAAAACATTTTACTCAAACATGCTTATGAACTCACCAACATTTTTATGTTGACCTTTTTAAATTAACTTGTATTCTCAAGAAATCGTTTAGTAGGTTAGTCAGCAAGAATACATGGATATTTTGTTATGTTTTGTTTTCATCATAATTTTGATATTTTGGCATGTAATATTGAAATACAATATTTTTATGTAAAACAATGACAGTTGTAACATTACATGCGTGATGATGATGATGTTTGGTTTCAATTATATACACTGTGATGATACTACAAAAATGAAGTCACCCAAGCCTCCGGATGTTTCCGCCGTCTAGTTTGGGGTGTGACAAGGGTCGTGGGAAGCGTCCCGCACGGAGGAACACCGCACCAGCGGTGCGGGAAGGGTGGCGGGGGGAGGATATATATATATATATATATATATATATATATATATATATATATATATATATATATATCATTTTTTTTCCTATTATCACGCTATAAACACTACAACATCCAAACATTTTTTTAATCCATACCTTCTTACTCTCTCCAAAAAATATTAATCAGAATGTCATCATCTTCATTATCCGATTCTTCGACTCTAGAGGCGGCTAAGTTTATCGGTTCCTTCATAGCGGAAACGGTTGCATAATTTCAAAACCGACTAGGTGAAACATCATGTGCACGATCTAAACCAAGAAAGCCACGGCTGCGTAGAAATCGTGAAGCTGGACACGATCATCTTATAGAAGATTACTTTGCAGATAACGCCATATATGTTGTAAAGTTTCGACGTCAGTTTCGGATGAGGAAGGAACTATTCTTACGTATTGTTGGCAATTTGGAAGGCCACTTTCCATATTTCCAATGGAAAATGGATGCGAGACAGATAAAAGGTTTCTCTTCAATTCAAAAATGCACGACTGCAATTCGTCAGTTAGCATACGACATGGGTGCACACAGATGGGACGAGTATTTTAGGATGTAAGAGCGCATCGTGCGGGAGTATGTATACAAGTTCTGCAAAGTGATCTGTTTGGTTTATGGGCAACGATATTTACCCAAACCAACTATGAACGATATCCATAAATTGTAGACCGTGCATGAAGGCAAGCATGGATTTCCTGGAATACTTGGTAGTATCGATTGCATGCACTGGAGTTGGTCATTATTCCGCAATGCATGGCGTGGTCAGTACATGAGAGGCGAACACAAAGAGTCGACGATCATTGTAGAGGCTATCACATCACATGGTCTGTGGATATGGCATGCATTCTTTGGTCCAGTTGGTGCAAACAATAACATCAATGTGTTAGACCAGTTGTCGGGATTCAACGATATCTACCTTGGAAAGTATCACAATGTACCTTTTCAAGAAAATGGGGTAGCATATAAGCATGGATAATATCTTACTGATAGTATATATCCTCCCTTTTGTAACACCCCATTTTGAAAAGCACTTTATGGCGGTCTCGGAGGCCCAGGATATGAGCGATTCGGTCTTTTAGGGTCCCGGGATTTATTCGGAAGGTTTAAGGTTTGGGTGTGTGGTCAGGAGTGTAGGGCTTCTCACCACCTTTTCTCGGATATAACATTCGTCATAAACGGACTTACAATGAAGAAGTTATCACTTTAAAGCATTGGGCATATATGGTCCCTAATGGAAGTGTTTGGCAAGCAAGTCTCATGCATGCAAGGGAAGCATGCACGTGCCCGGCTGGGTACGCCCAACGTAAGCTGGTGTACGCCTAACGTAGTGGAGTAAATTATCGCGGGCATGGGGAGGAGTACGCCCAACGTACTCTCAAAGACCCGAAACCCTAATTTTTTACAACATGTCACTATATAAAGAACATAACACCCCAATTATCAGCCTCCCTCTCATCTTCATACAGCCACCATGAAACCCTATCCCTCCCTTGAGTGTTCTTGGAGATTTGGAGGTCATTAGAGAGAATTTTTGTGATTGTGAAGCCATTTCCAAGCAAGTGAAGAGTATAACAACGTGGTGGATCAAAGGGGAAGCAGTAGATCCGAGTTTGGGGTTCCATTTCAGATCACTTGGAGGTATAAAGCTATACACTTTATCTAAGAGTGATTAGATCTAGTGTGGTTTAGTTTTGAAGTCATTTTGATCCAAAGGTTGAAACTTCTTAGTCCAAATACGACTTCCACGCTAAGGGTTGCCACCCTTAGTGCTAAATGACTCCCTAGGATAGAAAGTTGTCATCTTGGTGGTTTTAATGGGTTCATGCAAGAGTTAAGACCACTTTCATGGAAGTAAAGTATCATTTTTGGAGTTTGGACTTTTTTGGGGTATGCAAAGTCACCAAGTCAGTGACTTTATGGATTAAGACGTTGGAAAGGACTTGGATTTGTAATTATAGCTTCTGAATCTGAGAATTAAGCACTTAATAGGAAAATAATTTATTAGGGGAGTACGCTGAGCGTACAACAAGGTACGCCCAGTGTACGCACCATTTGGCTAGTACACTTAGCGTACATAGGAGTACGCCCATCGTACTCATTAGTTATGGGCCTTATGGATTTTGGGCCTCGGTTTGGGCCATGCAAGGGGATTTTGATCCTTTGGGCCTTAGTGGGCCATCAGGAGTCAGATAATGTGGGCCAAGAAGATTTTTGGGCTTAGGGTAAGGCCCATAAGAGGGATTGGGACCAATTTAGCAAATTAGGTTATTAGTGGACCACTTGGACTAGGTTCATTTTACCTTAAGGAGGATTATTGTTTTGAACTAAGTAGTATTTTGGTATTGATAGCTTTGGGAGTCGAGAAATCAGTTGTTTGGGATTTTTGGTGAGGCAGCGATTCGGGAGTTCGATACTTCAGTTCAAATCGGCAGTGCGAGGTAAGTTATCCTCACTATATCAACAGGGTCTAAGGAACCAAGTCTGACCCTTTATCTGATTTGTATCCGGGTATTTGCTTGATATGTTTGTTGATTTTCTAGATCTGCATCCTGGTAGTTAGTATGGTATTATGTTTAGTGACCTGGTGTAGGTCGGTATCCTAGTATATAGGATGATGTTATGTTAGTGACCGGTATGGGTGAGCAAACCCGAACCAAGAAATCGAAAAACCGAAAAAAAGAACCGACGAAACCGAAACCGAATCAAAACCGACGGTTAGGTTTTAAATTTTTAAAAACCGAGTTTTCAGGTTCGGTTTCTGTTTTTACCCAGAAACCGACCCACCCAACCCAAGAAACCGACCCCTCTTTAAAAACCAAGAAACCGACCCATTAAAACCGCAAACTCGATGCTTTTTACTGATTATATATATATATATATATATATATATATATATATATATATATATATATATACACATATATATATATGTATGTATATTAAAAAATAAAGATAAATAAAAGAAGCCTAGGTCATTTACTCATCCCATTTTCGTTTTGCCTTACTCGCATTCCCGCATCGGCGCATCTCACTGAATTGAAGATCGAAGAGTGAAGGTCCTCCGGCCGCTCAGCCGCTCGTACAATTTCGGACTTTGTGTTTTAGTTTGATTGTGTGTTTGGTTGTAATAGAAAATTTGGTTGTAAAACTCATGTTTTTTGAAGTATTTAACATCATTAGGTGTTTTTTGAATTATTTAACTTTTTGACCCATTTCTAGAAAATGGGTTTAAACCCAAAACCCATGGGTTTAAACCTAGAAACCGTAAGTGTATGGGTTGAACCGAAGAAACCGAGAAACCGCCCAAACTCATATCAGAACCCAAGAAACCGAACCAACCAGAAACCAATCCTATTGGGTTCTGAAAACCATAAACCGATCATTTACGGGTTGGGTTGGGTTGGGGTCTAAAACCGACCCAAACCAACCCATCCACAGCCCTAGTGACCGGTTAGGTCAGTATCCTGGTTATAGGATGTTGCTATGCTATATGATCTATTAGATCGGTTTGTTGCCTATAGACTGTTATGTGACTATCAATTATATGTACACATGGTTGTTTGATTGGGATAGGTAAAGACGGTCTTGCTTTCTGTTGAAGGCCAACATGTCCACGGCGGACCGGATAGACTACAAACCCAAAAGGGTATGGTAGTCAGACCGAAGGCCCGGTAAGCGGTTCGGATAGGATGATGGCCCTGAGAGGCGTTCCAGACGTGCTGAAGGCGCGGAGAGCGGTCCAGATAGACTGAAGGTGTGCGAGGCGGTCCAGTCAGGCTGAAGGCTCATTATGCATGTTGTTTTGTATTTGTTCATATGATGTGATTATGTTTATATGAGGTTGATATTTTGTGGGTAAGTCACTAAGCCTTCGAGCTTACAGTTTCAATTTATTGTTTCAGGTTCAGCGGATGACCACGGGAAGGCGAGGCTTGACCGTACACTTCCTCAATTGATGATTATGATTTCTGGGAACTCTGATGTTTAAACTATTTTGAAAACAAATTGTAATAAGTGAATGGTTTTAAATGATTTAAAAAGTTTTAAATTGGCTCAAATTTTATGGATGTTACACTTTGTCTGTTTTTGTGAAATCGTTTACATGTCCTGACGACCCGAAAAGGAAACAGTTTAAAGAGGAACAAGAGTCAGCTAGAAAGGATGTGGAGCTTACCTTTGGTGGACTTAAGAGACGTTGGCAAGTACTAGCAGTCGGAGTAAGGTCATATGAAGTGAAAAGGTTACTACACGTAATGTATGCATGTATTATATTGCATAATATGATTCTTGAAGACGAAGGAAGAGCGATATGTCGTTACAACGAAAATGAAGTTTTGCCAAATGTCAAAGGAGTAGTCGTTGATACACAAGAGTATAGGGCAAATAGAAGAGAAGTACACAATCGCGATATTCATCACGCCCTTCGTGTTGATTTGGTGGAGCACGTTTGTAATACTCATATTCAGCCGCCGATAGAGTTTTCTTATGATGATTTGTTTGACAAATCAGACGAGGATTCTGATATGTTCGTCGAGAGCGAAGATTCCGGTGACGAGAGTGATGCTCAGGAGAATGATGAAGACAATGAGGTCGATGACGAGGACGATGATTCCGAGTGATGTATTTTTGTTTTTTTTTTTTAAATTAAGATATATGTTGTGGCCTGTTTGATTTTTTGTTTGCGGTTTTTTTTTTTTTTTTAATTTTCTACTTATTTAAATATTAGGTTTGATATAATTTTTATTTTAATTAATAAAATGCTTTTTGTTTTTAATTAAATTGTATGTTTATTATTAATTTAAAAATTATAAATCATAAAAAAGAATTAATTTTATTTAAAAAAAAAAAACAAAACAAAATAGTGAGGGAAGCTTTCCACTCATTCTTTGGGTTTAGATGAGGAAAATGAAAATAAGAGAAATGGTCTTGTGGCCCATAAAAAAATAATGGAAGTTTTCCACCCATACCTTCCAATCTAATAAGGAGTTTGGTTCAATTGTTTTGACTTTTGAAACATTTGGAATATATAAAAGGGAAAATGACTTACCAAGGTAATTAACTTTTCGGTATGTTCACATACATGTAACTATCTTTTTTTTGTACATATTTAGGTAACAAACTTGTTGGAAGTGTTCACATATGACCATTATGACCTGTTATAGCAGGTTAAAGCCTAGATGCGAACACTTTCAACAAGTTCGTTACCTAGGTATGTACAAAAAAAATAGTTACCAAAATATGAACAAAACAAAAAGTAAAAGTAAATTACACGAATGGTCCCTGTGGTTTGGGGGAATTTGTTTTTTTGTCTCTAATTTATTTTTTTTAACTTGGATGGCCCCTAGTGTTTATTGCGTGTTTGGTCCCTGTTTTATCTAAAAGACTATTGTGTCCTTATTAATTTATTTTTTAATTTATTTTTTTATTTATGTATTTATTTTTTACATATTAAAAAAAATTAATAGACTCCACATATTTGTATCTCTTCGGATGATCTTTATTGTTTATTTTTTAATTAATTTATTTTTTAACTCGGAGGATCCCTACTGTTTAATTTTGTTACAAGTTTGGTCCCTGTCTTACCTAAAAAGACTATTGTGCCTTTATTATTATTATTTTTTAATTATGTATGTATACTTTATATATTTAAAATAAAATTAATAGACCTCACATATCTATATCTCCTTACAATCTCATCTCATCATCCTCAACTTCTATTTATTTTCCATCTTTAGTGATATCAAAGTCTTCACCATCCCTTCTTTTTTCGGTCCTTCAACTCCATCGAATCAACACCACAACCACTAAATATGAAGAAACAGTAGGTTATGGTGTTGGTTCGCCAGAGTTGAAGTACCAAAAAAAAAAGGATGATGAAGACGTCGATGTCACTAAATATGCAAAAGAAATAAAAGTTGGGGAGGATGAGAGATGGGATGGTGACCGGTAAGACCCAAATTAAATTTCTCAAACGTGGTTTCAGGTTTATGGTGAGGAGATACAGATATGTGGGGTCTATTAATTTTTTAAAATATATAAAAAATAAATACATAAATAAGAAAATTAATTAAAAAATAAGTTAATAAGGACACAATAGTCTTTTAGATAAAACAGGGACTAAACACGCAATAAAAATAAACACTAAGGACCATCCAAGTTAAAAAAATAAATTAGAGACAAAAAAACAAATTCCCCCAAACCACAGGGACCATTCGTGTAATTTACTTTTACTTTTTGTTTTGTTCATATTTGGGTAATTATTTTTTTTGTACACATCTAGGTAACGAACTTGTTGAAAGTGTTCGCATCTAGGCTTTAACCTGCTATAGCAGGTCATAATGATCATATGTGAACACTTCCAACAAGTTTGTTACCTAAATATGTACAAAAAAAAAAAAAAAGATAGTTACCTATATGTGAACATACCGAAAAGTTAATTACCTTGGTAAGTCATTTTCCGCAATTAGAATTTGAAGCATTTACATTTTGATTCCCTTTTCTTTTTTAACTTGCGTTTGGTTTACAATTATATCAAAAGGTTTTTGACACATGAAAATAACAAATAAGTGAAATGACCAAGTTGTACTTAATACCTTTTTTTAAATTGGATTACCCTTCTTTAAAACTTATAAATATATTTAAATAAATTTGTTTGTTCACTCTTATAATTTCCTATAATAATATTAAACATATAATCGAGTAATAGAAATCCAGTCACTAATTCATCTAGTGGTCTTATTTTTCGTTCATTATATCATCTTTCTTCTCCTTATTGAGATAATAAGAGTGCTTTGTGGTGTTCCCACAAGGGTTTCCACACAAGATTCGTTAGTGTTGATTTCTTGCATTCCAAGTTTCCAACTATCTTAAATAGCATGATGGGCTTGGGATGGATTCTGCGTGGGCGGCCTAAGGCTATCCGGTATGGGGCATTTTCACGCGTCTTGGGTTAAGGTGGCACTCTCTCTCACGCGTGAACACCGACCCAAGGGTGGGTGGTTTGCTTATGACGTGAGGCGGAAGACGGATGAAGACAGAGCTTATTAATGGTTGCTTCTTTTTTACCTCTTAATTTTGTTGGTTTTTCTTTATAATCCATCAAAATAGAAAAAAAAAAGGATGTACCCGTTTTACAGGATATCGGGCGAAGAAGACAGGTGAAGAAGACAACCGTGGACATTATATATATATATATATATATATATATATATATATATATATATATATATATATATATATATATATATATTAACTGAAGTTACAAATTTAGACCCTGAAATTCTATCTTTTAATCCTATTATACCCTTTTACTTTTATTTGAATTAAATTAAACCTTTAACTATATATAATTATGTTTATTTAATTTTAAAAATTAATAATATGTTTATTTGATTTTGTAATTAGTAAAATTATTACTTAAGTTTATAATAATATTTTTTTTATTTAATCTAATGTTTTAAAATTAAAAAAATAAAAATATAAATAATATAGAGTGATAACCATTTCTAATGTTTAATGAGTTGATAGTGGATTGAGTGTAAAGCTAACATAACACATATGTGGCAGTATTTTTCAGGTAGTGAGGTGTGTGTGATCACTCCCAATAGCCAAAAAGGTGCAATTTACCTCTTCTTTTATAGTGAAACACATTTGCGCAATTAATAAGATTGGAAGTATTTAGAATTTTTATTTTATTACGTTTTCCACAAAAACTTGATGCCATTAAGTAGGACGAGTCCATATGAAAGACGGGCTAGAAAAAAAAAAGGCCCATATTGCTATTTTAAGTATTTTATTTTTAAATAAATATATATACTTATAAAATATAATAAAAAAAAATAGAATCTATGAATCTCTCTACTTTGCCCCTCCCTCAGTATCTCCTATAATTACGTTAGCAAAATGATAGTAAATAGTAAATACCAAAATAAATGATAATAAAACTTTGGATTTAAATATAGAGCAAATTCGACAAATAACCAAAATGTAGGATGAGTTTGAAGAAAATGACCACAAAAATGAAGATTTCAGAAAACTACCACAAATTCCGCAGAGGGGGTTCTACGGAACCATAAACACATCTGCGGAATATGAAAACCTGTACGGATCTTGGTTTTTTTCATTTTTTTTGTTTTCGTTTATTAATATTTTTTTTAATCACATATGGTATTATGTGATTATTATGTAATTTTTTTTTCGTTTTTCGTTTTTCTTATTTAATTATCGTTTATAAAGTTGTGTGTTTAATAAAAATTATACAAATATTATATGTTTTTTATAAAATTACACACACTGGTATTCTAAATAATAAACATACTTTAAGTAGGTTACAAAAGATACTTTAGAAAACGTAAACATACAACCTTCATAATAAACATACTTTGAAATAAACTTCATTAAAGTCTCTGCGGATCCTCTACAGCTCTGAGGAATTCTTTTTTTTTTTTTTTTCGTTTTTTCGTTTCATTTTCATTTATTAATATTAATTTTTTTTAAAATACACTAATACCTTATGTGATTTTTATGTAGAAAATTTGACAAAAAAAAGTTAAAAATAATAAAATGTTTTATATACTATGTTTGCTACTGATGTATGTTTTCCATGTATTTTTACTGTTTTGTATTTACAAATCACTCCTCCACAAACACAATGAAAAAACAATTTCTACTGGTAATTGAAATTCACAAACTCACAAAAACCCATTAAAATATATCTACAACTTTTATAACTAATCCGTAGAGTTGTACACTGATCTGTAGAGGTGTACATAGATCCACAAATGTGTATACTGATCTGTAGAGGTGTAATCTGATTCGCAGAGGTGTACACAGATCCGCAAAGGTGTATACTGATCCTCAGAGGTGTACACTGATCCGCAAAGGTGTACACTGATCCGCTGATAACAGCTCTATGGATTCTCACACAGTTCTGTGGACTGATATTAAACATAAGTTCATTATTTTTAACCTCTTTTTGTCATTTTTTTACATAAAACATAAGGTATTAGTGTATTAAAAAAATTAATATTAATAAACGAAAAAAATAGAAAAAACGAAAAAATTAAAAAACTCAATATCCGCAGAGGTGTTTCGGTTCCTCAGAGGCAAACGTACTACATAAAACATTTCATTATTTTTAACGTTTTTTTGTAGATTTTTTTTACATAATAATCACATAAGGTATTAGTGTATTTAAAAAAAATTATATTAATAAACGAAAATGAACGCAAAAAAAAAAACAAAAAAAAATAAAAAAAACAAAAAACAAAGATTTTGCAGAGCTGTAGAGGATCCGCAAAGCCTTTAATGAAGTTTATTTCAAAGTATATTTATTATGAAGGTTGTATGTTTATGTTTTTAAAAATATGTTAAGTATGTTTATTATTCAGAATATCGGTGTGTGTAATTTTATAAAAAACATAGTATATTTTTAAAATTTTTATTAAACACATAACTTTTATAAACGGGTAATTAAATAAGAAAACTAAAAAACAAAAACAATTTTTTTCACATAATACCTTATGTGATTAAAAAATATTAATACACGAAAACAAAAAAAGTAAAAAAACAAAAAAAACGAATAAGAAAATAAAAAAAATAAAAAAAAACCAAGATCCGCAGAAGTGTTCACATTCCGCAGAGGTGTTTATGGTTCCGCAGAACTCTCTTTGCGGAATCTGTGGTCATTTTCTGAAATGTTCATTTTTGTGGTCATTTTCTTCAAACTCACCCTATATTTTGATCATTTGCCGAATTTTCTCATAAATATATGGCTTGTTTTTCCATCCTTCCACATATTCATCTTAAAAAATCAGGGGACCGGTCCAAAAAAAGATAGATCAGAATGTTTGACTTCGTATTTACATTTAAGGACTTCGTATTCGGAGTTTACCCTATGTAATTCGTTCATAACCTCCACAGAGAAAAAGGCGGTCGTTGAAGCAACAAGACCGATCAACTAACTGGTAACAATTTCTTCTCCCTTCCTTTCTTCCTTCTCGTTTCTTCTTCGTTCTTCGTTGTTCGTGTTGGTGATTTGTTTCACTAATGTGTTTTAAGTGTAATGGGATTACTTTTGTTGACCAAAAGTGATCTTGATAAATATTAAACAAGTAAGGAAGGTGTGGAGTGCACACTTGTTTAAGTTTATTCAAAATTAAAAGTAGACTGTCATTTAGGGGAGAAGCCCCTGAACGAAAGGGGGTCCGGGGGCAGCGCCCCTGGGAGCGGGGTCCATGGGGCGGCAGCCCCTGATGGGGTCCAAGGGGCAGAGCCCCTGGCTGGGATCGAAAATGCATCAGAAATCCAAATTTAGAATATTTGACCCGTTTTTGACTTGGTATTAGTTCTTATAGAAAACTCGGATTTATGACAGTTTGTTGACTGTTGCCAAACTGTTTTATGATAGTTTTCACAGTTTTCAGACAAATAAGGTATTTAACCGATTTTGGTCAGTTCTTTCTTCCTTCGTTCTTGGGATTTCATTTTTGCTTTGATGTGAAGGCAAAAATTGAGGATGGGACCAAGAAAAAATCAGTGCAATCTCCTTTAGGATTAATGATATATTTTACAGTGAAATTGTTAGGGTAGTCGACAGCAGCCCTTACTCCCATTATCTTGTTGAACAAATTCATCATTCTTATAATCTTCAATCTTCCATGTGAAAAAAACTACCCCTCGTGGTTCCTATGCATCACGTGATCCCAGTAGCCATACTAAGAGAGCAAGATAACATAAGCTGGAAGGAGACGTCGGATACAATGGGATCAAACATTACCATTTCTACAATAAATTTACTTCAGTCTCTTTATTTTATCCCACAAGACTACATACCAACAATAGGCCCAAGAAAAATCTGCCATACGTTTGACAAAAATGCCCTTGCTGTAACATTCTTGCTTCTGGACTTGTAACATTCTTTTGAATTGTCATTTTCTTTGCATTAAATTCGTTCCTGATTCAACTTTTTTTAGTTTTTCTCATTGCCTAATTAGATTGCTAATCAAATATTTTTAAATGGTGAGCGATTAAATATCTCTGCAAATTATTATGTTGTTTTTAATTTTAATTTGGATTTTGTATGACAATTTGTATTTAGATTTTTAATTTTATTTAGATTTTATGTGATCGCTTGTATTTGTATAATTATTTTATCTAGCAAAACATAAGGGTAATATGGTTATTTTTCATCATTCACCCCAATCAGAAAAATAATCAAACAGCATAAACTGAGTCAGATGTAAACACAATCAAAACTTCTAACTTGTTAGCTTTAACCCGGTTAGCAACAATCAAACGGCCCTAAAAATATTCTTAATTTTGTTATCTAAAATTCAATCACTTGAAAAACGATGAATATAAAAACAACTTTTGTTTCTCATTTTCTTTACTCTTCATGTTCTTTTTAGTGTTAGCATCCACAGCAGTCTAGGTATGCAATTCTTCTATCTATGTTTAAGTTTATTCTTGTAGTTTTTTTAACAAGGACCAAACAAGATTCCCATTAGTATTCATTTATTACATTTTAATTTCACAATTTTTTTTAGGCTTCACACCTGATAAAGTTGTTGCCGGTGTCAAGGTGAATGCAATACTCACTTGCATATATTTCTGAATAATTATATTAAGAAAAATCAATATCCTCATATATTTTGTTTTTGTTTATCTTTTTACTCATTAGATCAAAACAAATGTTAAAATCGAATATGAGTCGGAATACAAAATTAGTAGATTTCACATGTCATATTTTATATGAGTAGAAACAAAATATGGGAGGATATTTAATTTGGTGTTGCTTTTTCGTATTTTGTTATAGGGAATTGCAAAACCGTCATAAGAAAATGTCGAAGTCACTGGCATAGCAGATCTTCCTGATAAAATTGATTGTAAATTTTAATAATCAATATTTAGGATGCACCCCTATCATCGCTCCTGTGTACGAGTTTACTTCGGTTTGGTTTTGTGAATGTGGTACCAAATTTTATAAACCTCACCAATCCTAATTGTAATCGTTTTATTAGGTGTCTAGACTCTAGACTCTAAAGTGATATTTACGGATTTCTCTGTTTTCATGAAAAGGAGATATTGGTGAATTTTTAAATGATTTTCGTCATAATAATTATAAGTAAAAATATCGTATGTGAAGATAAATTGATAAAGATGGAAAAATTAAGATGCCAAGGCTAATTGGAAGTAAATACAAAAACTACTACGAATAAATGCAAAGTAACCCGTATAACATGGGATTACCAAAACACATTCTTTGGCATTTGAAAGACATGATTAAGACAAAAGATCACATATGTATTTTTCTCCACACAGGTTAACTCTAGGACTATCATAGAGAACTTCAAGGCCAGGAAAATAATGTAGATTTCGGAGATCTTTCACATAAAAAATAAAGTTTGAGACTATTTGAGACTTGTAATAAATGCGTTTCACTTTCAGTAATGATCATATCATCAACATATAATAATAATAAAATAAAAGGAGAATGATAAATATATTTATGGTTCGAGTAAAGAGTCATGATTTGTAGGGGTTACACAAAAATCCTAGAGAGTGAACGGTGGTGTTGAATTTATCGAACAAAACAGGGGAGTCTATTTAAGGCCATATAACATTTTCATAGTTGTTCATAGACGATAAGCATACCATGAAGGATGATCAACTCTAGAAGCTATGAGGACACATGTAGACTTCCTTAGCAAGATCCCCATTAAGGAAAGCATTATTGACATCCAATTGATATAAAGACCAACAACGAGCTACAACAATGGTTTGTAAACTACAAACCGAGGTAATACAAGTCATTTTGAAACGAAATCCCAACATCAATGTCTTTTTGTTTAATATGTAAGTAACAAAACACTATAAATGAGAACGAGACACAAGTTTTGAACATCCACCGAACAAAACATGCACAACCCCAAACTTTAAGATCATATGCAAGATGAATACCATGAAGTAGTTCACACGATGACTTGTTTTGAAGTGTAGTTGTGTTGTGGGATGTCAATTTATGGTGTAGACAATTGTGAATGCTCGACTCCCCCTGTGTAATCGTTCTGGAGCCTTATATAAGATTAGTATGGTATGAACAATATCTAATATGCATCTATGTTTGTGTTCAACAAGACCATTTTCATGATATATAGGGGCATAAGTATTGTGGCACGAGTCCATGGTCATGCAAGAATGACATGAGAGATTTGTATTTCATGGCGTTATTTTGATGGATTTTGAAAATTAGGTTTAAATCATTTATGCAAAAGAGATGCAACTCGAAAGGATTATGCATTATATAAATTCATGCAATAGTCGACAATGAAATTTATTTAACTAAAAAAAGGATCGTGGACTAAAACAATTAAACAAAGTTATATATTCGAGACACAATAATCATTCAAAGACATACTAAGTTAACAACATCGATAATACATGTATTAAACGATTACAGTGTCAACTTATACAAACAAATTCAGAAATCAACAGGTGGGCTAATATATATATTATATTATATTATATATATTCTTTTTTCTTCGTGCTTCTCATTTTTTTTTTTTTTTTCCAAATTGAATTCTTCATACGAAAAACTCAAAAGGGTTAATAAGACCTAGAAGTTAAAAGACGATGATAAGTAAAGTTTCTTCTTACAAGCTTTTTAGTGAAGATAAGGAGCTTGATACTGGTAAGCATTCCCAAAGTAGGTCCCATGGTTAGGAGCCAAATTGTAAGCAGGTGTACCCATAAACGAGTGAACATGGTTTTCCGGTGGTGGTGGTCCAGGGTAAGCATACTGTGGTCTGCTGTCATACATGTACTGCGTTGGCGGTGCATACCTGGCGGCATAGAAATTTTTGTCGCCGGTGTTACGTGGTCCATATCCCGCTACTGCTGCTGCCGCTACACCATTGGCACGTGGTCTCTTGGATTGAGGTTTCACTACTTCTGTTGCACGTTTCTTGTCTGCCTTGGCTTTTTCCAGCTCAGCAATCCGTTTTTGAAGTGGGTCCAGTGGGTACTCCTCTTCAAGCTTGTGTTCTTCAATGAATTTGGTAACTGCCTTTAGGGCAGATAGTTCTCTTTCACTCACATCATTCTGAGATTTCAAAATCGTCAACAGTATCATTAACAGTATCAGTATCAGTAACATAACAGGGAAAAAACAAAACCTGAGGGGTGGGAGAAGAATTTCCTGATTTGACAGTGGAAGGAGTTTTGATTGCCTCTGTCAAGTAGGATTTGAGTAAAGAAACAGGAGAAAACTGATGGGTGAGTTCAAATGCAAATGCTAGGTTAACAGCATCGATATGCCTTCCGCTACTCACTAACACATCAATTACACCTGAAAAAATAGTAAGAAAGAAGTAAATTAAAGCAACAAGTGATAAAAGAATTGAGTTAATTACAAGAAAGGAACAAGGACCAAAATTGAAAAAAGTTTCGATTTTGAACCGGACACCGTAAAAATCAGAAAGCACGGGGACCATTTTGGTAATTTACTTACAATGTAAAGATATAGAAGACAAGAAAATTTAGTGACCTGGCATCTTGTCAGACAAGCCAAGGAAGCGACAAAGATCAGCAGTCTGGTGGCGGCGAGAGACCATTGGTATTAACTTGGATAAATCTTCGTTAACAAAATCAGAATCAATACCGAAAGTAGCAACAAGTTGTAAGAAAGCATGAGCCTCCAATGAATTCCCATTACTTGCATCCAGATCAAGATCATCTAATTTGGGTTTCCATTCTTGTGCGATAATCTTTGCTCTGTTCTTCACATCTTCAGAGATCACCTTCGAAACTGTGTTAGCATCGAGATTCACAAGCAGAATGCTAAGACATTCCATCAACATGATGCATGTTCGCCTCAAACCTAAAAGATTTGCATCTTTTTTCCCATCTAGGTTTGAGTTTGACCCCTCTGAAATGTAGAACCCGTAAAGTGAATCCAAAACTAAACCACCAGGGTCACCTGCAGCCTTCAATGCAATTGGAATCTCCTCCTTTATGGAAGCAAGATTCTTGCGATTATCTGATATGAATTTGTGGAGGCCTCCTGCATCCATCTCTTCGCATAACTTAGCAAGTTGGGGATTCGATAGCAGCTTCACATCACCATTTTCAAATAACCTTTTCATATCATCTTCTTCACTTTCAGGTGGATTCTGATCAGCACCACCTTGGTCTTCGTTGTTAACAGTTGAAGATTCCACGTGTCCATTTTTGTGTTTCCCTAAGACATTAACAATGGCATTGACTGCGACATCTCTCTTCTCTTGAAGCCTCCCCAATGAAGCTTCTTCTTTAGCCATAACAGCAGCACGACGCTTTTCCAGAACTTGTTGAGCTTTAACTGTTTTCATTTCGAATTCCTTTTCTTGGTCTTCCAGCTCAGTGAAGCGCCTCTTCAAGGACTTCTCAAGCCCATGGAAATGTTCTTCAATTTGTTTCCATTTCAGGTTTAGGGTTACAGCTCGGTGGCTTTCTAGCTCTGCAAATGCTTTCTGAAGTTGTTGTATTTTGGAGTTTGTGGACTCCAAGAGTGTAGCAACTGAATCGGTATCTTCCATGGCAGGTTAGCAGTATAATCCTTCAAATAAAACGAAAATCAAAACTGATACTGTATCCGACGAAATTGCAGAAGATGATAAATCAATTGAAGTGAATGACAACAATTGAAAACCATCCGATAAAGTTAGGAATTAAACCATTTCTCAGATGCCTAACCCTAACACATCACAATCATCTATGACAATACAAAATCAATCGAGTTACTAAACACGAACTCAAACTCTTTATTAGACATAACGTAAGCGAACTGAAAGTTTAGAAAAAACACGAAACTGATGATTAATTATGAAACAATTAACTTTGCCAGCTACCGTGACAGCTAGATCAACCAACACACAATGATTTCAATTACAAACATAACAACAAGATAAGCGGAAACATAATTCGTAGGAAATGAAAACTATCATGAAGACAGATATTAAAAAGCAAAGCAATTGGATCTGAAGATCAACATTACAGTACGATTAGCTTAACAAAGTGAAAGGTAGATATAACTTACAACAGTAGGTGGCGATGGAATTGAAGGGTGGAGACGGCGATCGAGGGCGGCGAATTGTGGAGTCCGATCAAGCCATTTTGGGTATGTGGAAGATAAAGAGGGTTTCGCGGGGAAGCACCCAATCCGTGGAGAGATAGAAGAGGAAAGTAGGAGGGTTCTGAGTTCTGACACAAAATTTGCTTTTGTGTTTTTGCTATTGCCAGGTTCAACTCGAGTTAAGGCACGCGCTTTCGTTAGGTGGGTGGCTGGATTTTCATCCATTTCCATTTATCTTCTTATTGAGTTTTTTACAGTTGTTAAAAAAAATATTTACTATTTTAGTTATTTCAAAAGTATTTACTAAAAGTTTTTATCATTTTTTTTTTTTACTTTTGAGTTTCTTTTATTTATTTTAAATATCTTATTTTTCTTGTTTTCTCTTTTATTCCATCTTTTTATTGTTTTTTATATATTTTTTTTTAATTTTAGTTTTTTTTTACCTTTTTTTACTGTTTTTTTAAATAAATGTTTTTTTTTATCTACTTTTTTTCTGTTTTTTTAAACAATACCTTTAAAATTAAAAAAAATAATAATAATAATGTAAGTTAATGAAACAAGTTGTTGAAATGTCCTAAAAGAATAGTTAAGAAATATAAGATTTCAGTTTTCATCAAAATTTTGAGATCTGATCGCCTTCATCGTGATTCGAAAGAACTCAACAATGGCGGGTTCGTTACCCCTTGTCAAACACAAGTTGGTAGTTGTGGTCCATCAGTCTGTCGCAAAACCACCATCGTTAGCAGATTTATTTATGACAAATTCTGCCCCACATATCAGGTACAATTCAGCCGGATTCTTGTTATGATGTTCAATCAGTTTTGTGGTAATTATTCAGATATGAGGTTCGGTTGGAATTTGGCTATTGGCTCAGGTACTTGTTTAGAATTGATGTTATGAGTTAGGATAATAAAATCATCTTGTTTAGTATGTGGTAATCATAGATGGAAAGGAATGAAAAATTTACAGGTTTGGTTGATGATTGGAAAGGAAAGATGCATTGAAGAACGAATCCTGTTCCTTCAAAACGAGTCTTTTTTCATTCCATTCCTTCTATGAACGGAATTGCAACTTCTGATTTTATCTTGTATGAATCGATTACAAACCCATCAAAATTGTCGGTTGACAATCACGTTTCCAAATCGAAATCGATTTCCATAACAACATCCTCAATGTAAATACATAGCATCAAATTTCAAAAAAAAAAAAAAAGTATAAATCATGAGAGCATCGTTTTGTATATGGCATAGGACTTCAATTGATTTCCATGGTGCTTGTTCATCTCCATCGAAATTTTCTTGTGTCAAGTTGAATTGTAGAAGCTGCAGTGCTAGAACCATGAAGTGAGCCTAGTTTGCGCTTACGATTTTTTTTTTTTTTTTTTTTTTTTTTTTTTGTTTCTGTTCATTCCAACGTTCCAGGGAAAACCAAAAACGTGTTTTTCTTTTTTTAAAAACAATAATATTAGTATTAAAATTAAATAATACCATTTTGGTAAATACTTTTGAAAGAACACTAATATGGGAAATATTTTTTTCATAACACTATTATGGTTAAAAACTCTCTTTTATTTATTAAATTATCTAATTAAGAGATAAAATCCAATACTAAAAATTTTTTGATAAAATTTTATAAATGGTCATGTGGTTTTTAAAAAATAGCAAATTTGTGATAACTTTGAGAAGCACTACATTGGTGGTCTTGTGGTTTACTTTTTGTATGGGGAATGGTTTTATTTTAGGCTAATTTTATAAGGTTGAGGGTGGTGCTACGCTTCCTTATGAAAGTATCATCTCACCCATTATCACAAAAGTGTAGTCTCATACCACATCCAAGGAGTGATGTCACACTCCTTTAAATTATTTTTATTTTTTAAATAAATAAAATGTTTAGTTTTAAATAAAAACAAAATATTTCATTAATTAAAATTAAAAACCATTACATTACTTAAAAAACCTAGGAAATTATAAATTAAAAAACTAGAAAGCTTAAACATACAACTTTAAAAAAAATCAAATAATTAAAACTTGGAAAACAACTACAAATTAACCATGATTAGCATAACGTTTTTTCACGCCTTCGTTCATTTGCAAAACGACTTGAAGCGCATTCCCAATCAAATTCGACGTGTCTATCGATAGCACTCTGAGGTTATTGTCCCTTTGTTTCCGACTCTTTCTATTCGAAGCAAGTTGCAAAAATTTATCTATTCTATATTTTATGCGTTGCACATTATCACACGTTTCTTTCAAGGCATCTGATATGCGCTTTGCTCTTGCCTTATTTTTTGTTTTGTACATTCCCATTGGTCCGGGGGAGGGGGGGGGTGAAACTTGAACGGACCCATCTTCGTTGAGGTCGAAACCAACACGAGCATCCGATGAAGTGTGTCCCGAGTCGGAAGTTCTTGACCATTTTGATCTGCTATCGATGTGCCCGTCGCTTGTTTTCAGGTTTTGCCATTTTTTATCGCTTTTTAGTAGATTCCAAACTTTAAAAAACTTGAAAATCTTCTTTTGCTCTTTTAATAAATGTTAAAAGCTTTCTCCAAAACCACTTCGTCACTTTCGCCGCTTTTCTATTGTCGTTTCATGTTGTTATATAAATCGTTAAACAACATCACGTATTTGTTCATCTTTCCCCATTTTGAGTACACCTGATTTTAGTACGATATGGTTCCAAGTTCATTCCTTTATGGAATTGAGCTCTAACGCGCATCCAAAAACGATCATGTTTTTTGTTCCCTCCCGTCTTCGCGACCTCTGAAACGTCAATCCATGATTGTGTTAATACTAACTTTTCTTGAGGTGACCACGCTTTAGCTTCCGCCTTCTCTTTTCTTTTATTACCTGGTTGAAAGGGTTGAGTTTGTGGAATAAATTCCGTTTCAGATTCAGAAATGGGTGTTTGTGGTTGTAATTGTGTTTCTGGAATAAACTCTGGTTGGGAACCAAAATCAAAAGGATCAAAATCTTGGTCAAATTATGGTTGTGTTTGTGAAAATGGCTTCGTAGGCTGTGGTTGTTGGATATGTTGTGGAAAAAAGGGAACCATATCCTCGTAGTGGTAGAAAGGAGACGAATAAATCGGTTGATCGAGTGAAGATTTTGGAGTTGTGGGTTTTCTGGCAGGTGTTTTTTTGTTGGTTGGATTTCTTGAGAATGATATTTTTTGTGGGTTTGAAAAGAGAGAAGATAGTAAAATGTTGATGTGTTTTTTTTTTGGGTTAGTTTATAAAGTATTTATAGTAGTAGTTTGAAAAAATTGAAAAAAAAAATGAAAAATGACCTTTTCAAACGTTAAAGAAGAGGGCCAATCACATTCAAGCAAGGAGTGCACCCCTGGAGGGTCGCAGTGCGGCCGAGACCGTACCTAGACTGCACCCAGGGGACGGTGTGCAATGTGATGTGAGAAGAGGAAGCGATGTCTAGACCGCAGTATCCTTTTTTTTCAATTTCATCTCCTATGTGACTTTTTTTCTTTTGTTGTTGTTTTTTCTTTTTTGTTTTTATTGTATTTTTTTAATTTTTTTATTTTAATAATAATAATAATTATTATTATTATAAATTTCGATAACCGTATAAATTCGGACAACATTTTAAAATTCGAATTAAAATTTAAAATTCAGACGACATTATACATTTGAACGACATAAAATTCGGACGACTATATAAAACGGAACAAAATAAAAGTTTGTCTTTATTTATCATTGGTATATTAATTAGTTCGATATTACATTTGTGTGGTGTGTTATGTGGACTGAAAACAAACGTTATTTTTATTCCATTTTATATAGTCGTTCGAATTTTATAATATCGTCCGAATTTATAATGTTGTTCGAATTTTATATGGTTATCGAAATTTATAATAATAATAATAATAATAATAATAATAATAATAATAATAATAATAATAAACATCAAAAATAAAACAAAAAGGGACAAAAAGAAAAAAAGAAAGAAAAAATGATGTCAGATCAAAAGTAAAAGGTTGATTAGATTGATGTTTTGGGGAGGGGGTAAAATTAATTAAGTGGGTTACTTATATTACACCCCTTATTTTATTACAAATTTGACCTATAATTGCTATTTTATTTCGGAAAAATAATTTGTCATGATAATTATATTTCCGCCTTTTTCACATTTAGATAATTTTTTTTGTACACATTTAACCATTTAACATGTTATACGTGTTCACATATTACAAAGACAATGTGGAGGCCCAGCGGAAGGAAAAGGGTCTGGAGAGGTGAGAGGTTGGTGAAAAGAGGAAGTTCGATGGACCTTCAGGGTCCAACAAGAAAAACAAGTTCTCGAAGTCCAGTTCGAGAGGAGGAGGAGGCGAAGTGAAATGGTGCGACAAATGTAAGAAGAAAAATCATGGAAAATGTGAGGTAGTGACCACATGTTTTAAATGTGGAAAGCCAGGACACTATGCCAACGAATGCACCCTCACCAAAAAAGT